CTAACACAGGGCAGGGCGGGATGGCGGGTAGGGAGGTTACGGGGGGGAGAGGGGGGGGGGGGGGGGGGGACCGATGCGCGGCCTCCCAGGGCGCCAAAACAGGCGGCAGAAGGGGCGGCGCTCGCCCCCCACGCGGCCCCCAAGGGTCACCTCGACGGGCGACGGGAAATGGCCGGGGCGAGGCCGGGGCCGTGCAAGGGCGGCGACGGGGCCGCTGGCGGCGACGTCGGGGCCGCTGGTGGCGGCGACGGGGCCGATAGGAGCGGCGACGGGAGGGGGCGACACGCGGGTCCCCGTCGCCCGTTGCAGCGCCTCCCGAGAGCGACGCGCGGCGTGACGGGGCAGAAACCCGCCGCACGCCTCGGGGAGCACGGCGGGCAGAGAACCGCCGCGCGCCTCGGGGCGCACGGCGGGCAGAAAACCGCCGCGCGCCTCGGGGCGCACGGCGGGCATAAAACCGCCGCGCGCCTCGGGGCGCACGGCGGGCATAAAACCGCCGCGCGCCTCGGGGCGCACGGCGGGAAGAAAAACTGCCGCACGCCACAGAGAGTAGCAGTAGTAGTTGCAGCGGAAGCAACGAGGTGGTAAGCCCACCCACAGGATCGATCCAAGGGGATCGACCTGCTCTGATACCATGTAAAGGTTTAGAAGAAAGAAGAGGGGTTTCACTAGCAGCAGTTGGGATACATATAGCAAACCCTAACAGGGTTGTACTCGCTATAGAGCACCCCACTACAGGCTAGATAATAACATTCTGACAAATACATTCGCCTCACGCTGTACGTCGACAACCTGCTTTACACAGGCTCAAACAACGAGCTTCTCGAGCAGTTCGAGAAGGCCTTGGCAGGGCGCGTCGACATCACGTGCAACTACGAGGTGAAGCAGTTTCTAGGCCTCAACATCTCCTACGCGACTGAGGCCATTCATCTCTCAGCAGCTAAGTACACAGAGGAGTTAGGGAAGCGGTTCAACATTTCACCTGCACCTCTCAACTCCCTACCGAACTCTCGGACCGAACCACAAATCCGACAACAAACCCCTATCCCCTGCTGGGATTCAGACTTACCAGCAGAAGTTGGGATGCCTCCTCTTCGCCTCTGTCACCTGCAGGCCAGACCTCTCGTACATCGCCAGTCAGCTGGCGCAGTACTCACGCAAACCAACGGCTGAGAATCTTCTGGATCTGCAGCGCTCCCTTCAATTCTTTGTTTCAACGCCCAAGATTGGGCTGTGCTACTCAGCTGCACCAACTCCATCCTTCAACCTCATCGGCTATGTGGACGCCGATCACGCAGCAGACCCCGATAATCGACGGTCCAGGACTGGCTTCCTGTTCCGACTCGAGCCAACGGAACCAATCTCCTGGAACTCGCAGAAGCAGGAGCTGGTTGCCCTGTCGTCAGCCGAAGCGGAATTCGTCGCAGCAACCGCAGCAGTTCGCGAAGGCCTCTACTTGCAGGAACTCCTGCAAGAGGCAAAAATTCCAGCTTCGCCCACATTTCGCCTTCACTGCGATAACCAGAGCGCGATTCGCATCATGAACAAACCTGGTTTCGTCAACCGGACCAAGCACATTCCGTTGCGGTACTTCTTCGTGAAGGATGAGGTAGACAAGGGCAAGGTCAACTTGACCTACTGCCCGACCAGTGACATGGCAGCAGACTTCCTTACGAAGCGACTGCCACGCCAGCAGTATCAGCACTGCTCCGAACTCAGCGGCGTGGTCAAGCAGGTCAAGTCGAGCTGCGGCCAGGAGTGAAGGGGGGTGTTATGAATAGTAATACTTGAATATTACTGTGCACTCCTCACCGCAGCAAAGAGAAGCACGCAGTATCGCGAATGAACGCGAAGCGTCAGACGGTTGGAAACGACTCGAAGTGTCAAACAGTTGGGACGCATCTGAACCGTCGGAGCAGACACCATCAGGCAGCTGCAGGCAGGATGGCTTCGGCGGGAACTGTTTCGTAACTGTTCGCGCCGCACGGTTGGGAATGTATTTGAATAAGGGAATGTACCCCTTAGAGTACATGGCTAGCTAGGTCGTTTCATCTCCGCTGTACTCATATTTATATTTGCTGTACTTGCATGTTTTATTAATCTCAAGCATTTACATTCACTCTGCTATTGAGGTCAAGGGCCCACCAACATCACTTCTCTGCGTGCGAACCTTCCTGAGTAGATCCTAGGCCACGATCAACTTCTGATCGCAGCACCTGTAACGCAGATTTGGCATCGTCGAAGCGCGCTAAACGCCCTTCTCCAACTACAAATCGTGGGTTGGAACTCATTTCCCTCCACCCACGTCTCTCATTTTCCAACGGCTCATGCAACTCTCCCACCCCCCACCCCGACACCGAGGACATCCGTGACGCCGCTGGAACAGGAGGACAGACAGCTAGTCCTATGATTGGTAGTACGCACGCATAATGAGGGGTAGCTAGCACAATGCTATCGTAGGTAGTCTCAGCCAGGTCATGTACTAGCATCTATATTGTCTAGCTCAAGGTGCATGTTGTAATTTGCTAGTTGAAATGAGAACGATGCCAAATGATCAGTATAAGAAAGCAAGCTTTCTAAATGCACCAGCCACGTCTTCAGATATAAGCTCTCTTGCGACCTACGGTATTTTACTCTGTCGATACATTAAGTGCCGGTAATGGTAACCAGCTGTGGCATACTGAGGAGTGTGGATACTGGATATTGTGGTATAGACATGATTTTTTTCGAAAGTGTGTAACACTTTCTAAAAATGCGTATTGTGAAAACGCAGTTGCCTGTAACGAAGCAAAGCAACGGCGAATTACAATTCGCCGAGTACATAACGAGAGTTGGAGGCCATTCGGCCTCCACCCACGACTTCATTTCAAAACTTTGCAGTTTCACTCCAATTCTCGTCCAACCACCTCGACCGTTTCCTTGTCGCTAGAAACTACCTTCTAAGCTAATACTCACTTGCACGGCCTGAGAGCCGTCCCCCAGGGGGGGAAGGGGACCGAGGGTCCCCGTGTGGCCTGAGAGCCGTCCCCCCGGGGGGGGAGGGGACCGAGGGTCCCCGTGTGGCCTGAGAGCCGTCCCCCAGGGGGGGAAGGGGACCGAGGGTCCCCGTGTGGCCTGAGAGCCGTCCCCCAGGGGGGGAAGGGGACCGAGGGTCCCCGTGTGGCCTGAGAGCCGTCCCCCAAGGGGGGATGGGGACCGAGGGTCCCCGTGTGGCCTGAGAGCCGTCCCCCAGGGGGGCAAGGGGACCGAGGGTCCCCGTGTGGCCTGAGAGCCGTCCCCCAGGGGGGGAAGGGGACCGAGGGTCCCCGTGTGGCCTGAGAGCCGTCCCCCAGGGGAGGGAAGGGGACCGAGGGTCCTAGCGTGGCCTGAGAGCCGTCCCCCAGGGGGGAAGAGACTCGAAGGTCCACACGTTGGCCTTACCGTAAAATGGGCAAAAAAATCGAACAATGTGCTCGCTTGTATGACTGGATCATCCTTGGTTTTTTATGTACCCCATTTACTTTTAATGTGACCAATAAAGGCTGGTTGGAGCCCCACTGAAATCTCGGGAAGCAACTGTTCAAGTGCACCTCAAGTTGGTTTTAAAATCTTTTAAACCACATTCCGTGTTTTTCCAAATAAGGGCAATGACAATGGGATCGGTTTTCGCCATCATTCTTATCCCACTTTGTTCGATAACGCCCGACAAGGAAGCAAAAGCACACGTTGAAACGACTTGCATGCTGTCACCTGAATGGGCGTTTGGGAGTAAAAGGCGGCAATTTTGTGACCGTTCCTACCCAACCAACATGACGAATACCACACTCACCCGACTACCACTTCAAACCTTAACATCCACCCACGTTGTAGTTATTCCGGCCGGAACATCAAACGACTGGAAGTGTAGGGTAAATCAGAGCACATGGAAGCTAAATCCCAAGATAAAAGTTGTACCGTACATTGGGCGTGTAGAGTACGGGAACCACCAGTTTCAACCACTATCCTGGTGCACCAACAACGAGGGACATCCACATCAACAGCACGAGCAACCTTCGCGTACAGCACCTCGGACGCCATCGACATGGAGCCCACGACTCACCAACGCCGCCCCTCCCGGCATTTCGTCAATGTCATCAACCGCAACTACACTCACCACGTTTTCAATGCTCCAGCTGCACATGTCTCATAAGACCCAATTGTAATGAAGCCAGTTGCCTTTGCAAGAACAGAAAGCAAGCTTTCTCAATATGATTTTTTTCGAAAGTGTGTAACACTTTCTAAAAATGCGTATTGTGAAAGCGCAGCTGCCTGTAACGAAGCAAAGCAACGGCGAATTACAATTCGCCGAGTACATAACGAGAGTTGGAGGTCATTCGGCCTCCACCCACGACTTCATTTCAGAACTTTGCAGTTTCATTCCCCACCCACCCGCCCTAGTTGTACCAATATTTGTATGATCCATAGTTGGACGAGAATGTTGTATTACTGCAATTGTAATGAAGCCAGTTGCCCAATTGTAATGAAGCCAGTTGCCTTTGCAAGAACAGAAAGCAAGCTTTCTCAATATACCGTATAAGAGCGTGTTCCTACGGCCTCGTATCAGGTAACCTCGTAACAGATTCGTGTCGAACCGCACTGAAACGCATTCTAACACAGTCGAACGTACTGAAACGTATTTCACCACGCGGAGCTGATACAAGGTGTAGGAACACGCTCTAATACCGGTAACTTGTCAACTTGATTGCCGTGGGTTGACAACAGGTGCCTGCCATGACTGCACCTGTGTCAACTGTCAAGTCAACCACCTGTTCTCTAGGTAATTAGCGTGGCATGAATGCACCGACCCAACCCCTGTATATTGGCACTTCATACTTAAGCTTTCATACAGTGAACACTGGAACATTGGCGACCAAGGCTTCCATTGCATTGCATCAAGGGATCGGGTGAAACAAAACAAGCACCCACGAGGGAGAGCACTGGCCATGCGGCACAGCAGAGCCATTTCAAAGGCAGCGGTGACTTCAGGCCTCCTCCACAACGTTGCCCTTCTCGCTCACATAGATGCCATCCAGGAACTTCCGAATGTCCTTCTTCTTCACATGGCAAACCTGCACCCGGGGGGAGCACGGCACCAACAACACAACAGCTCAAATGGGTTGACCTCTCAGACTCAGGACTACCAATTGGAAGTCATTGTTTCCCACATGCCACACCTGAGGGGAGAGGAGAGCAAGTGGCAGCAAGCGGTCAGTGAATCTGCAAATCGATTTTCTACAAGAGCTCTCAGCTGCCCTTGGTTGTTCATGTGCGCACCACTGAGAAAGGACGGCATCAAGTGGTACAGATTCACCAAACCAGGAATCCTGACAGGGTCCCCTACTTCCACGCCCTGACTAATGGGAGATCCCAATGGCAAGACTCGAGAACAGGGAGCATCCGCAGAGCGATGGAACCACGAAGGCTCTACCCATTTTAAAACAAAACGCGGCGTGCTTATGTGGGACTGGTGATGGTTCGAAGCCAGGTATGGGTGACAGTCCGCTCTGAGTCGTGGCAATTCAGCAATCTGGAACCCTCCCGTGCATTCGACGGATGGGGTGGTGAGAGGTGGATGGCAGTGCATGAAACCCTAACCGCTGATAGCGGCGACAGGAGGAGCGAGTTGCAAGCGCATGATGTAGAAAGGCAAAGGCGTTCTGCACGCCCTTCCCTGTTGCATGGCCGCGCCCCATGAGATGGTGCGGGAGGGACGAGGGATGGTGCTGGTTGACCAGGGAGAATGCGGCACCGCGGGGCTGGCATGGTCGATGCGCGCGACACAACGGAGCGACGGGGAGGGCTAACCTGGTTGATGCGCGCGGAGGAGGGCTGACCTGGTTGATGAGCGCGGGGAGACGGGGAGGGCTGGCCTGGTTGATGCGCGCGGGGAGACGGGGAGGGCTGGCCTGGTTGATGCGCGCGGCGGAGGGCTGACCTGGTTGATGCGCGCGGGGAGGGGGAGGGCTGACCTGGTTGATGAGCGCGGCGGAGCGTGAGACGAGCTCGATGTCGTTGCCCTCGAGGATGAGCTCGTCCTTCACCTTCTCCGACCGCGTTATCGTCACGCCCTCCAGCATCGCCACCTTGCGCACCTGCGCGCGCACCCGGGGGGAGAGGTATGGGGGACGGGGGACGGGGGAGTAGAGGGGGGACGGGGGAAAAAGTGACGGTAAGAACAAGAGGGGTGAGGGGATAAGAGAAACGTCAGCACAAGCGCGCACCCAACAGCAGGCGACAGCCACTCCCTACAGCATCGCCGCTTAGAGCACCTGGCGCGCATCGTTTGCACCTTGCGCCCCTCCGGAGATTGTGCGAGTGACGGGAAAGGTGAAGGTGGAGGCGAGGGTGAGGGGGAGAGGGAGGGGGAGGGGAGGGGAGGGGGGGGGGAGGGGAGGGGAAGGGGAGGGGGAGGAAGGCGAACGCAGAGGGTTTGAAGGAGCTGTTGGGACACCGAATCCCGTAGGGTCCTTCACCTTGGCCCAAAAAGCGCCTCAACCTGAGACTAGGCAGCGCACATCCACGAGACGAATTATCAACACTAATGTGGGAAGATCGGGGTTGCGACCCTGCGGAGCCTGTGAGGATGCATGGCGGCATGCAGCTGCACCATCGCCTCACCGCTGCGCACGTGGAATTCATCCACAGCAGCATGCAGCTCCGCGTCTTCAACCGCCAGCTTATACTGTGCCTGCCAACATAGCCGATCGGCGCTAAGCACTGTTCCACTCCCAACGCACTACAGGCTCCTCGCTACAAGCCGCGTCACTACAAACTGCACTGGCCCGAGTGAAGTCCTCACCTACTGCTAAACTTCCAAACATTGACGTTCTCTCGCCTGGCAGCCCCTCAATCCAGCCCAAATACCTGCGTGTTCCTAAGCCTGCCCTCTCACAAGCCTGATCTTTCTCGCCTTACCCAGGCCCACCGTCGGACATCCATTCCGCTCCGCATTCGTCTCCCAGGCACGTCACGCAGAAAATCGAGCGCACCTTCGTCCGCTAAAGCTAGATTTGCTAGGGCTACGTCTTTCTTCGTCGGCCGCCGTTGCAATGCACCCCGCATGCCCCACTGCTGCGTCGATCGCAGTCATACTCTCGCAGTCACACTCTCCATCGGCGCGCGGCTTTACAAAAGCAAGCAGCATCATACCCGCTTCAGGCGCGGCGCATATGACCTGACCTTGCCACCTAGCTACAGCTTAACGTCCGCCCAAACCGCCAATCGCCGCCCGACCAAGAGAGAGCAGCAACTGCCTGCCGCCTTTTAAAAAACTAGAAGAAAAGAAGTTCTTCGGAAACCGATGCTTAAAGTGCCTGTGCGCGAGTCAGAATGCTTCGCCCCATTCATCAGCTGCATGGCGCGGTGCCCCAAAAGACGAGGATCGGAACCGCCCGCCACTGATGCGTCTATCTAAGGTGACGGGGTAGGGCACTGATGATTTTCTCTCGGCGAGCTGGCGGGGAAGGGCACAATTGAAACCTCGAATGGTATATAAACGATACGACTGACGACTGCGAGTCCTGTTCCGAGAAGAACCCGCTGCCAACAATGCGGCAGCATCCCGTCACAAGCTTCCTCTCCCGCACTGATCGAACTAGGTCTCTCTTTCCAAACCAAGCTCAACAGAAAACGGCTCCGCAAAAGCACGCAATAGAGCAACAGAGGCATCGCTACTAGGAACGGGGCTCTGCAGGCATGCAAGTGAGAAGGTGGGAGATGGGGAAATAGGGGGAAGCGCGTGCCGGTGGAACGCGGCCTCCTTTTTCAGCCGTTTCGACAAAATCCATTCAGCTCCTTTTCCCGCCAACTGCACAACGCTCTCTGCGGCTCACGTTTCCCCCCGCCTGAAAGCGCCCCGTGGCTCACCTTCTTCTCGCCCAGGAAGTTTCGGATCTCGATGCTGTCGGCGGAGCCGCTGATGCTCGAGTTGATGGGGAAATGAGCGTACACGAGGCGCATCTTGTACTTGAAGCCCACCGTCACGCCCTTGATCAGATTCTGCACGTGGCTGATGGCCGTTCTAATCGACGCCATCGTCTTGCGCGTGCCGAACCACGCATCGACCTTAAGCTTCGCCCCGTCCTCGACGATTTGGAAATCGAGGTTCAGGTGACGGAAGTCCCTAAACAGCTTGCCACGTGGCCCAGTTACGCGGACCTTCTTCGCCTTAATCTCCAGCTTCACGTCCTTAGGAATGTCCATCGTCTCGGACGCTAGGATCGTCTTCATGCTGACGTGAGCCCTGAGGGCGCTCCGAGACTAAGTGTGGAATTAGCGGAAGGGGGGAGGGAAAAGGAGGCTGAGTAGGGAAAGGGGAGACTGAAGAGCAGGGAGAAGGCTTTCAGGGCGTGCAGCGCAGGGGGAAAGGCGACGGGAGGAAGGCCGAATAGTGTGCAGCTCCCGAATGGGACGGGCGCAGGCAGAGCGGAACGGCTTGGGGAAAGGTTGGAGAGGCAGAATGGTTCGCCCGATATAGTAGGCTGGTGGTAAGCCACGAAACACTCGACACAGTTACGGAAACCCTGAAATTGCACTTACAGCACGAATAATTTCATATTAGGCCAACAAGAAGGTTAGTTTCAATACCATATTCCAACATCCTTGACTCCACTGCAACATGGATTCACTCGGACACATTTGTACGCCCCACATGCGAGCATGATGCGTTGTTCCACTTTAATCAATGTCTTGTAGGCATGCATCCATGATGGCATCAATGTTAGAATGCATTTAGAAAGCTTGCTTTCTCTTACTTATCATTTGGCATCGTTCTCATTTCAACTGGCAAATTACAACATGCACCTCGAGCTAGGAAACAGAAGTGCTAGTACATGTTACTATACTGCGTATCAATCATTGTACTAGCGATTCATCATGCTACTTGATGTCTATCATGCTACAAGCTATCGATCTTCTCGTTCAAGCAGCGTCGATGATGCCCGTCAGTGTTGGGGCGGGGGGTGGGAGAGTTGCATGAGCCGTTGGAAAACGAGAGACGTGGGTGGAGGGAAATGAGCTCCAACCCACGATTTGTAGTTGGAGAAGGGCGTTTAGCGCGCTTCGACGATGCCAAAACATGCGTTACAAGCAGCTGCGCTTTCGAAATACGTAATTTTGAAAAACACTTCGTGTGTTTAAAATTTATAATATTTAGAAAGCTTGCTTTCTCTTACTTATCATTTGGCATCGTTCTCATTTCTACTGGGGTTCTTGAGACATGGGTAGCCGGGGCTTCCGATGACGGATGAGTGCCTCTGCGTGCTGTGCTGAGGACGGGGCATGATTCAGGTCCTGCAACTGGCGGGAGGCGTTGATGAGATGTTCGGCATTTGGCGTGACGTACATCTCCTTGGCTGCGTCACTACGCCATCGGCCCAGCCGTTTGAAGATTCTGTCTGGCACGCCGGTGTTTGCCGCGGCAGTGGCTGCACCCTTGCGAAAGGAATGAGTGCCTAGCTGTTGTTCTCCAAGTCCGATCTTCCCAAAGGCCTCTTTGCACCAGTTTCGGATGTCGGATACGACGGTGGCCTTGATTGGCCACCTTGGGTGGAACCATGACCGAAGGTGCGAATCAGCGGCCCCCTTGATTGCTGATCATATCCGGCGAGTCGAATGAGTCGTTGAGTGCCGCGGACAGGGCAGAACGGATCGTGTGTTGCGGCGATAGGTATCCATGTGCCTTTTCCAGCTTGGTCCGTCTTGGAGTACGGAATTAGGATCCACATGACCTCGTCGTCAAACTGGATGTCTTGCCACTCGATGGCGACGAGGTCTGAGTATCGCAGGAATCCGGAGTACATGAGAATGGGGATGAGCCCCTTCTGGAATTCGCCGGGGTTGTCAGATCGCAGGTATCTTGCCGACATGTCACGGACTTGTTGCAGCGAGACTGGCTCCTTCACTCTCGTGGGGCGAGGACAGTGTCGTTTCGCAAAGTCGCGTACTTGAGTGGTGAATGGTCCTGCCGTTGGGCATGCGCTCCCAGTCATGCGGTGGGCGAAGCTCACGGCTGAGCAGGTGAGTTGTACCATGGATAGGGTGGCCTTGCATTTGATGGCGTACACCAGGTATAGTGCGAGGGTCATGTCTGCCGCGGGGAGGAATGGGAGGTCCACCTTTGCACAGAAGGCTCGAAACTTGACCCAGTATGGCTCGTACGTTTGGATCGTTGAGTCAGCACGAGACTGTGAGAGCATCTTTAGAAGCTGTACTTGTAGCTTTGGCAGTACGTCTGCGCGAAGGAGGACGAGATGGGTTAGTTGAAGACCACTCGTAATGCGACGATTGTACTATGAGGCAATCCTGTGCCTGAGAAAGCGGTGCGGTGCGAGCCTACTGCTAAACATTGGCTGCCGTGCGTCAGGGGAATTTGTGCTTGGATATGCGGGGCCCAGCTAGGTGGGGAGGGTTGTAGGAGCGGCCACCAGGTTGCCCCTGGCCAATGTGGGACGACGAGGGTGAGTGAGGCGTGGGTGCGTTGTGCGTGGTGGATGACTGCTGGGATTAACTGGGGTGGCGGGAACGCGAAGCCATTCTCGGTCGACCATGAAATCGAGAATGCGTCGATTGCAGTGGCCTCCGGGTGTGGTATCTTTGAGCAGAATCGTGGCAGCTGCGAGTTGTTTGGGCTTGCGAAAAGGTCGATTGAGTGGGGACCCCAGCGACGATTGAGGATGCGGAACCATGGTTGTTTCAAGGAGTAATCGTCGTGGTCAATCATTTTGGACAGCTCATCTGCATGGGAGTTTAGCTCGCGCGGGATCCATTCAACAATTAATCGAGTGCCGAGCTCCATGCACGTGCGGATGATGTCCTTGCAAGCGGTGGTGAGGTCGGGGGTGCGAGAGCCGCCTTTGCAGAGGATGAAAAAGACCCCTTGGTTGTCCACCCTCACGAGCACGTGTTTTTGCTGAACCTTGTTCGCGTACGTTTGAAGGGCCCAAAGGACGCCTTCAATTTCCCTCCGAGTGCTGGACGTCATTCGCAATGTTTCTGGCATGGCTGCGCTTGCCTCTTCGAGTTCACCAGGGAAGGTGAGAAGGGTGGCGCCCCAACTATGAGAGCTGGCGTCCACGTGAATTACCGCGTCATAACTATTCCGAACGTGGAATGGTGCGCCATTAAATTTGTCGAACTCTTCAAGCCAGAACTGCAACTCTTCAGCAACGGGGGGGGAAATGCTCAAGCTGCTTCCCCAGGATGGCGCGTCGTTAATTGCTTGTAGCATGGCGTGGCTGAATGCACGCGTCGTGGCGCCGAGTGCGACGGCCATCGACGCGAGTGTGCCGGTGATTCTGGCCAGGTGGCGGACTGGAACCTGTCGGCGCGCTTTGCTTGCGTCCAGTAGGTTCCGAATGTGTGCGTGAAGTGATGCCCGTCGATCGGTGCCAATTGAGAATTGACCAGATTTTGTGTCCAACTCGACGCCCAAGAATCGCAGATGTTGGGATGGCAGCAGCTGCGACTTTTTCGCGTTAATCACCAAGCCCGCCATCTTGAGGTCCGAAATTATCTGCTGGCATGTTGCTTGTGCGTGGGCCTTGGACGTGCATAAGAACAGGATGTCGTCCACATAGGGTATCACTCGAACGCCTTGTTCACGCCAGCGCCTGGTTAGTTGTTTGATGAGCTGCGTGAAGACAAATGGTGCCGTGGCGAGGCCAAAGGGTAGTGAACGGAAGGCGTACGTGCGCCCTTCAAATTCGAAGCCCAAGAATTTCCAGCAAGAGTTGTGTATGTCGATATGGTGGTATCCCGATTTGAGGTCGATGGAGAACATCCAATCTCCCATGCGTGCCAGGTCGGCCACGCGGCTTAGGCCTTCGTATTTGAATTTAGGGATGGTCAGGTGCGCGTTCACTTTTCTGAGGTCGAGGATTAGCCTGCATTTTTCTCGTTGCTCAACCACGTTGAGTGGGCTTATGCATGTGAGCTCCGCTGCTGGGGTGACCACCGCCGCGCCGGTCTCGGTAAGTTCGCGAATGGCAGTGCGCGTGAACGCAGCATGCGTGTGCGCCCCGAGGTGGTTGCGCTCGTGAAACGGTTGTGGTGGGTATTGGCTCCATGGCAGCCAGTAACCGTTAGCGATGACGGAGAGGATGAGGCTGCTGGGGCACCACGAGCTCCACCATGCAAGGGTTGCGCGAAGCCGCCCGCGCATTTGCGTGACAGATTTGTCAGTGACGGCGAACTCGTACGGATCTCCGTCGCCTAGCGTCTCGTGTCGTGTTATCTCTGCATGTTTGCCGAGTGACAATGGCGCAGAGGTATTAGAATGCAAGCCATCGTGTCTCAGGAATGTGCATGCGATAACGCGTGCGTAGACACATCAACAAGTCGTAATCATCGTTTGTCACCCATGTGTGACGCGGTTCGCCTCTCTCTCCCCTCTCTCTCTCTCTCTCTCCCTCTCTCCCTCTCTCTTTCTCTCTCTCTCTCTCTCTCTCTCTCCCTCTCTCTCTCTCTCTCTCTCTCTCTCTCTCTCTCTCTCTCTCTCTCTCTCTCTCTCTTTCTTTCTCTCTCTCTATCTCGCTCTCGTTCACTCTTTTCATTTGCTCTTGCTTTCCCTTTATCCATGACATGCCTTTTTGGCTCGTGGCCAATATAAAGGCTACCAATGCCAACGAATGGTGGGGCCGTTTGCTCGGGTTCGTGTGGGTGCTTGCCATTTTGTCGCTCTCTGGTTTTTTTTTTTTTTTTTTTGTCATCCAAAGCCAAGATCAGAAAGTACTTCTTTAAAAATAAAGCCCTTATAAGAAACGGGCCACACATAGCCATGCTTCCTAGCATGCATCCGCCCCGCACCGCACGGGCCAAATTATGGGACCAAAGGGCTTTCTAGTCCCTCTCCTGCCACCTAGGCCTATAGCCTAATCATCACCCCTAACTAGGGCTTGGCTCATAGCCACCGCAAACCCCTTTGGGTTGCCCACGGTCAACACACTTGACGTGCACCGTGCCACGCGCGCTAAGGCGCAAACGCTCAAGGACCATCCCTACACCACGGGTGCGGGTCCTTGGCCACCATTGCCATTCCGCGGGCAGCCACTTGCCACATGCCCCGGCTGGCCGCAGCGGAAGCATGTCCCACGGAAGCCGTGGAAGCTCCCCATAGGCGGGCCGCGCTTGGGGTTGAACGCCATGGGCCCGCGACCTCCGCCGCGGTGGGATCGAGCGTGCGCACCCTCCGCGCGATCTATCGCTGCCACGTCGGCGACGGCTTGCTTGAACGGGCGGGAGGTAAGGAGGCTCTTCTGCTGGTACATCTTGAACCGCTTGGCGACGCGATCGTCGGTGGCGTCCTCGACTTGAAGCATGTCGTAGCGCTCCGAAATGTAGTCGAGGGCGCTCGCGACCATTTCAAGTCCGCCCGCCGCGTCGCCGCGCTGCAGTTTGTACTCCGCGTGCTTCAGGTAGGCCCTCAGGTCCTCCAGGGGCTCCACTTTCGCTCGCACAATCGGGTCAATGAAGTTTGCCGCCGAAAAAGTGGGGTTAGTGCAAGGGAGGGGAGGGAGATTTTCCATGGGGGGAAAATTTGTTGCGTTGTTCGGAGCCTCACCGGCGTCGTCGTCTGAGTCGTCGGAGTCGTTGTTGACTGTTGCAGCTTCAGGAGCGCTGGTAACGGCCTCCTTGTCGTGGCGGCGCGTTGATGGTCCTTTTGCTCCTTTTTCCTTTTTTGCAATGTCGTTTTTAGCCGATGCAGATGCAGCAGGTTGTGTAGTTTCGGCGGCGATCGCGCTAGCGGGGTGCTGCTGTAACAGGGACAGGAGGGCCTTGACTTGGTCCGGGGTCAACGCCTGGGTCAAGGCCTGGTCAGCCGTCGCGTCAGACGAGGCAGCCGTACGGCGCCTCTGGCGCTGACGCGACGGCCGGCCGGAGGCGTGTGCCGCTGGCGCGTGCTCCGCGTCCGCGGCGTGTGTCGCCACGTTCGCCACTAGCGCCACAGGCGCCACTGGCGCCACAGGTGCCACTGGCGCCGAAGGGTGCTGGGGGTGCTGCTCGGCGTTTTTGTTGACTTCGAGCCTGCCCAACAGCACGTCCACGGCGGTCGGGGCGGATGTTTCGCTGTCTGCCCGGCGCTTGTTGCGACGCTCGCCCGTCGTTTCACGGGCATTACGGTCGTTGTCGGAAATTATCGGGTCGTTGGCGACGATGTTGTTAGCACGGTTAAGCGTCGGCGTCGCAGCCATCGTTGAGCGGTTTTGGTTAAGGATGTCGGCTAATAAAGTTGAAGGAGAAACGCCTCTAGGTAATGAGCGAGTCCTCGCCAGCTTGAACGGTAAAACTAGAAGTGAGCTCGAGAAAATGAAGTTGCATGAGCCGTTGGAAAACGAGAGACGTGGGTGGAGGGAAATGAGCTCCAACCCACGATTTGTAGTTGGAGAAGGGCGTTTAGCGCGCTTCGACGATGCCAAAACATGCGTTACAAGCAGCTGCGCTTTCGAAATACGTAATTTTGAAAAACACTTCGTGTGTGTAAAAATTATAATATCCATATCTACTGGACATTGTGCCCAAGATTTACTTAGAACGTGTTCCTACGGCCTCGTATCAGGTAACCTCGTATCAGATTCGCGTCGAACCGCACTGAAACGAATTCAAACGCAGTCGAACGTACTGTAACGTATTTCACCACGAGAAGCTGATGCGAGGTGTTTCTGATACGAGGTGTAGGAACACGCTATTATTACTGTGACACTCTCAACAGTCAGTAAGTTCTACACTACCTAAATGCGTTTCAGGAAGTTATCCAGGTTGTACTCCTCTGCGTACTGCGACTCGTCCCATAGATCTTCCAAGCCAGTAAGCACAGCTTTCAGTCCCTTCCCTCCTCCAGCTGCTGCCACAGCTGCATCTGAAGATGAGTCTGCTGGTTTCTGCTGGGCCAAGAACACGGTCACAGGAAGGGCAAGGTGGGAACGTGATATTCAGCACATTACTTGTTTTGACATGTCAGTAAAGAGCAAAGAGCAGCACTGTGCAGCAAGCCAAAAACTTTCAGACACTGTGCCTAACCCAACGACCATGATGCACCACCACAAAGACACCTACCAGGCCAATGCTATCAATGACACTTACCTTAGCACCAGCACTGGCAGCAGGAGGGCCAGCGTTAAAGAGGTCTAAGAGCTGCGATGTGTCCATCGATTTGAGACTGGCGTTGTCAGCATTGACCACCGCGTTGGCTATGGAGAGCTTGAAGCGCTGCAGCCCCATGACCTTCTCCTCCAGCGTGCCCGCCATTATCACTCTGTGCACGTTCACCGTCCGCCTCTGCCCCAGGCGATGGGCTCGATCCATAGCCTGGAGGGAAGGGAAAGAGTAAGGGGAAGAGGGGGCAGAGAAAGGAAGAGAATGATGATTGTGAACACAGGCCACATGTTCTTGCATATCGAGGGTGCATGCATCGTCACCACCATATGTGGAAAAAACGTAATGAAATAAGTCCAATGTGTTTACACAACTGTGTCTGCTGCAGGTGACGCCATCATCTCATTTAACAAATGAGTTGCTTGTTTCCAACATCTACTCTGATCAGATTTGTGATAGCAAGGCGGTTACCATCGCATACCTGCAGATCCCGCATTGGGTTCCAGTCATGCTCCAAGAACACCACTGTGTCCGCTGCTGTTAGGTTCAGGCCCAAGCCACCGACTGTAAGGGGAGGAAACGACAAATGAATTAGAGCAGAGGAAAGAAGCGCATGATGCGGGATTTGGTGGAGAGTAAAGAGGGAGAGGGGGGAGAGAACAGCACGTGAGGGTGGAGTGAGAAAGGGGGGAATGACAACTGTTTGCCAAGAAGGGTATGACTGTTTTGTTATCATGTGACACATTTCAATAGCATCCTCCACATGCTGCTATTGGGCGAGAATAAAAAGAAAGGAACGGATGCAAGAGAGTAACAGATCAATGCTCCTGGTGGACTTGACATCAGAAACATGCCTCGCTACTTCCAAAAATTACTAGCGTAAAACCAGAAACAGAACATACCATGGGTTGTGAGGAGCAGCACATCGATCGTTGGGTCTGAGTTGAAGGCCTTGACCAGATCAAAACGGCGCGATGGCTCCACCGACCCGTCAATGCGCAGATAGGACACACTGCAGGGAGGGGGAGCGTAGATGTGGGAGGGGGGTTGGAATTCAGAGATATGTTTCAACAGAAATGCAGGTGCTAGTGGAGGGTATAAAGAAGACGGACGAATAGGGGGGGATCTGAAAATCCCAGATTTGAAGGTAATCCAGAAGTGATTACGAATAGGGGTATTACAGTTGACAACCATCATGGGCAATCACCGCTTACCCAGGCATGTGTTTCTTGAAGAGGTCCTCCTCCACTATATCAAGGAATGACTGTACGGGGGATGGGGGCAAGCAGACACTTGGAAGGGAATTTAGGATGACAAGGATACCTGTAGACGTTCAGCACTCACAGGGTCAAAAATTAGGCAGGAAACATGAAGCCTCAATCTATCCCATCCAGATACATTCACTTTTGTCGTACCATCGACGGATACAGACAAGTGACCCTCAGTGGACTCACCTTAAGCTGGGCGAACACGAGCACACGGTGATTGCCCTCGCTGGCCTCACCTCCCACATCCCCTCCACTCTTACCCTCCCCTCCTCCTCCTATCCCACACTCCAGCAGAATATCTCTCAGCGCAACCAACTTGGGTGCGTGCACTATGTCATGCACGTCCCCAACACCATCCCCTCCACTGCTGCCAGCACCACTGCTGCTGCCTCCTCTCGGCCCGGCTTCTGCTGCTGCCCCCGAGGCCCCTACTGCTGCGAGAGCAGCTGCGTGGCGGGGATGGGAAGGGTCCAGCACCAGTAACGGATGGCTACACAGCTTCCTCAGATACTGCAGCGCTTGGAACACATGGGTTGAAGCTTGCTCCCCTCCTCCTCCCTCTGCTCCTCCACCTGCCGCCGTTACTGCTGTCACCACCTCCTCTGACGCGTGGGACTTTGAGAAGTCAGCGTACAGTAGTCGCTGCAGCGTGCTCAGCTGGCAGTATCGGTCGGTGATGATTTTGGGAGGCAGGTCTGAGAGAACTTGCTCCTTGGTGCGGCGCAGAATGAATGGCATCACCTGGCAGAGTGGAAGAAAGGAAACGGAGGGTTGAGGAGGAACTTGGCACGATGGGCAAACAAAGAGTAGCTGGTCACACGCGACCCTGCATGACTATAACCACATGGCAACACATGCTCTTCAACTCTCTATCATTTATATTTTCCCATCCCTCAAACCCCTTCTTTCCAAGAACGGAGTGAGAAGTGCAAGGGCTGGGCTGACCTGGCGATGAAGGGCCTCCATGGCCAGAGCGCCTGCCTCTGCTTGCTTGGCAGTGCACTTGGGGTCTCGTGCAGCCTGTAGAGGCTTGCCATACCGCGCCTGGAACTGATGTGCATGTGTGATGGGAGGGCGGGAAGAGCAACAGGAAAAGGGAAGATACATTGGTGGAGAGAAGCCACAGGGAAAAACAGTAAAAGTATCGCCCATAAAGCTGGTTGTGTATTTTCCATCTCAGCAGTAACACAACCTTAGCTGCCTTCATCACTTTCCACCGCCTACAAGGCAAGCAGGTATACCTGTTTCTCAGTCCCTAGGAATCCTGGCATGAGGAAGTCAAAGAGCGCCCACAGCTCCAAGACGTTGTTCTGAATGGGAGTGCCCGTCAGCAGCAGCCGATGCTCCGCCTTGATCCGCCTCACCGCCTGCGACAGCCGCGTCTTAGCGCCCTTGATCAGATGCCCCTCGTCCAGCACACAGTACCGCCATGTGATGGCTGCCAGCTCATCAATGTCGCTTCGTAACACCTCATACGAGGTTACCACCAGGTTGTGCTTTCTCAGCTGCCCCCGCATCCTCTGCCGGTCGGCAACGCTGCCTGCATACTGCAGTGGGAAGAATATCCCACGAGGAATGTACTTCTCGATCTCGTAGACCCAGTGAGCGACAAGAGTGGGTGGGCAAACGATGAGAGACGGGAGGAGAGGCGTGGGCGCAACTCCGAATCCAGAAGCACCAGGTGCAGCACGATCAGCAGCAGAAGTAGGCCCGGTAGCAGCTGCACGCGCAGCAGCTTGGCGCTCGATTGTGTCTGAGGCGAGCATGGAGGAGGCCTGGAGGGTCTTGCCCAGCCCCATGTCGTCACACAGCACCCCATGCAGGTGGAAGCGGCGCAGAAAGGCCAACCAGTTGACACCCTCCTGCTGGTACCTGCTCATTGCAAAGAGGGGAGTGTGTATGTGTGGGGGGTGTGAAGAGAATGAGACGTGAGAATGCATGAGAGGAGTAGAAGAGGGTGTGAACATGAGTTCAACTCTACACAGATTGATTATATGTCCAGCTCAATTCTGCACGCACCTTCTCAGGGTGACCGACAGCTTCACTTGCAGCTGGTAATCATCCGCCTTGCGATTATCCAGAAGCTGCTCCAGGAACCGGGCATCCTCCCGGGCCTTCCTCGCACCTTCCTTGTCCAAAAACGCTGGTAAAGGCAGCCCTCGGGCGAGAGGCAGTAGAGGCACGAGCCTGGCAAAGCTCTGTGTCACCAGCTGCCGCACCTGCGGACTAGGGTCGGACATCCGAGCTAAGAGGGGAACGACTAGGAGTGCAGCGTATGGTGCTAGCATCTCGCCTTGGGTGTTGACTAACGAGGAAACAACACTTGCTGCTCCGCGACGGGCTGGTTCAGAGAGTGTGTTGGTGAGCTGAGGAATGACATGAGTGAGAATGGCGGAGAGAACAGTTTGCTCTGCAGACAAAAGAGACACAAGTGCTGCCAGGCACTGGGCTGAGGCGAATCGGACAGCAGCATGGGGATGGCGAGTGCAACAGAGAACTGGTGGAAGGAGGAGGAGCAGTTGGGGGATAAGGGACGTGTGGAGGACAAGGGATAGGCACCGGATGAGTTGAAAGGTGTTGACTAGTGCCAGTGGATCTGCTTTGAACAGTTCTCCCTCATCGCACTTCCCTGTGCTACCACCTCCCTCTGACTCTCCGGGCTTCCAGACCTCAGTAAGGAGACCCCACAGCTTCGGCAGCTTTGTAAAAAGGTCTGGGCCAAGGCTGTCCGCCAAGGCTCTGAAGGACAGCTCGGCTCCTCTGCGGCCAATCATGGCTTCCAACGACCCTGCTGCCCCTTCCCCTTTTACAATCACACCAGCGGCTCCTTTTGAAGCCGCACCCCCGGCTCCAGCCGCAGCAGGCATGGCGAGGGTGGGATCCAGGGGGTCATCCGCCTCCTTATTGGCATCACAGGGTGGTGGGCACTGAGAGGGGTCGGAGCAGGCGAGTGTAGATAGATTCTTGAGAAGCCTGTCGTTAGGGGAAGGGCGGCGATCCAAGGAGCGCAGGATGACGGATGCGAGGCCGCTCGCTACACACTGCTGCAGAAGCACCTCCTGATAGAAGACGGGGGGCGAGGGGGGAGGGGGAGAGTGGGAAAGGATAAGACGTGAATCCGATCTAAACAACCACATATGTATTCGTAAATTGAATGATTCAAGATCCAAAATAGGCACCTGAAGCCAAGACTCACCCTTTCTCGCTTGAGTGCGGCCATGAGTGGCTGTATGATGGGGTTGAGCTTGGAAGGCAGACTTAAGGAGACTCGCACGGCTGCTGCCGCCACTGTTGCTGTGACGGATGTGTGCATGTTGGCCTGGGAGAGAGAGAGAGAGAAGTGAAATGGTGACAGGGGAGAGGGCAGGGGCGAGGCGGCACCAAGTAAACTAAATATCAAACTAGTGGTACTGCTGTCATCACTGTGTGCAGTGCAAGTTGGGAGAGCAAGAGGAAGGGTAGGAGAAGAGAGGGTGGAGAGCTTAGGGGTAGTGTTTTACTCTGAGCTGTGTGCATATTGGTTGGTTTGAGGCAAAATAGGGTAGACAAGGACCCCTAGATATGCCTAATCATTTCATTTTTACCACACTCCACCCTCGAAATATACATCCCACCTCCCCCCAAGATGCACATGCATTTTGAGAACAGACGCACTCATGGCATTGCACACACCTGTACAGTTTTAAGGTAAGTAGCAGTGGACAGCAATCTCCGCCTGCAGCTTTCCATCAAATCCCCCATGCCTTTCTGCTGCGACGGCTCCTGTTGCCTCTCAGCTCCTCTCCCTCCCTCACTCCCTCCCCTTCCCCTGCCTCTTCCTCTTCCTCTTCCCCTTCCAACTCCTTCCCCTCTCCCTCCCCCAAGTCCACCAGCCACACCACCAGGTGCATCCCTGTTCTCCACCTCGCCTGTTCCTGACCCAGCAAGCCCAGCCAAAGCCCCTGCCAGTTCCAACGCACCCTCTGGACTCAATCTATCAAAATGAGCCTCTTCCCCTCCTCGTCCTTCCAAAACTGTTCCTCCTGTTCCTCCCTTTCCTCTCGTTTCTCCTGCTGTACTGCTATCCAGAGCCCCTGCCGAGCCAACACAGCCGGCTCGTGTAAGCGCCGAACTAATCGTGTCTGGTGCTAACCCCAGAGCTCGGGCATGGCTGATCAAAGCACTAGCTTCAGCCCGGAGCTTGTTGTAGGTTCGAGAGAGCTCCTCGTAGCTTTGGCCAGCATCAGGAGAACAGAGGAGAGCCATCAAGTGGTTCAACAATTTTTCAACAGGAGGAGATGGTCGTACCAAAGAGAGACCAGGAAGAGAGCCAAGGGCATACTGCTGCTGCTGCTGCTGCTGATGCTGATTTGGCTTTTGCAATGTTTGCTGACTGTCCGTTTGCTCCACCTCCATTTTCCCTAGCTCCCGTTTCTCAAGCTCCCTGAACCAAGCAGCAATGATCAAAGCACCAACCTGCTTCTGTGTGGCAGCCACGGACCCCAGGAGGGATATCAACGGGGCTACTCCGCCTTCTAGCTGGACAACAGGCCAGAAGGAGAGCAGCAAGCCCATGGCTTGGCTTGTGTCTACTCTCATACGCACAGCTGCACTCTCGCCTTCAGCCCCTACCACCACCACCCCACTACCACCGCTCCCTAGTGCACTGCCAGCAGCAGCAGAGCTCCCTGCACTAGATCCTGCTGCTACACCTTCCAACTCCTTCCCCTTGCCCTTTCCCCTTCCCCCTCTACCCCTTCCCCTCCCCTTACCCTCAGTCCCCATGCCTCTGCTGGCTGTCCCTTGAGCTGCAGGTGCTGATGTGGCAAAGAGGAGGGAGGTGTCAAGGGGGCCACCAGGCGGTGTGGCGATGAGCTGGCACCAGTGGTGAATCACGGGGCGAGTGAGAGATGCAACCCTGGAGGGGGGTACCTGAGGTAGGCGATAAGAGGAACGATGTGGTCGGGACAAGGAAAACTGAGTTGACTGTTGTTAAATGATATGTGAGCTAGGAACACAGTCAATATCAGCAGCAACAGTCCGAGGTGATGTATGAGGGAACTTGCCAAAAACACAGTACCTGTTGCAAGAGCAGAGGCCAGACACGGCGGGAGACAGCAAGAGCCGTGGGGTGGGTCTCCAAAATCAGATTACGGAGAATACATGCCAGCGCGTCCACTAACACGTCAGCCACCCAGGGTAACGTTGAGCTGGAATCTGATGACAAGGTGCCAGTGGATTGAAGGAGCCTCTCCTGTCTCGACCCAACAAAGTGAGTGCGGGGGAGGGAGGAGGGGGATACGAGGTAACAATGGAATACAAATGGACGAGGGGGGGAAGAAAAAAAAATGCAAGGAGGGGAAACGAGAAAGCAAAGCGTACTGACAGACAAGAAACGAGGGGGAAGAATGTAATTGACATGTAGGCTGACTCACGAGAGTGGAAACAGCAGCAAGTCGGACAGCAGAGATGGTGTGACGCATCAACGGCCATAATCGACGGACGAGAACCACTAAGGGCGGCAAAGTGTCCCTTCCAGCACCAACAGCAGCAGCGCCAGCAGCAGCATCTTTGTTTCTCTTCGGTTTAATCCCATCTAAAGCTAGATTCTCCTCCTCTTCCTTGTCGTCAAGGTCATCATCTTCGCCCAACTCCTCATCGCCATCCACTTGTCCACCAGCAGAAGCAGCAACAGGCATACCAGCAGCAGCCGCAGCAGCAGCTGCAGTTGCAGCAGTCTTAACATCAGCCGAAGCACCAGCAGATGGTGAAACGGTCCAGAGGGCAGCAACTCGAGGAAGAGCATGCAGCTCAGCAAGGAGGGTCATGACACTGTGAGAGGGGAACAAGTGCATACAACAACCACGGCACATGCATGTGGGCTTTTGAACCTATTCCAAGACAACGGCAAGCAACATGAACGAACCCATTCAGAGGCTCGCATGCTGGTAGATGAATTCAATATATGCACAAGTGTGCATCAGCAGCTTCCAAAACTAAATAAACGGGTAGATGAACAAACTAAATAAACGGGCAGACATGGTCTCATTCGCCTCCTCAAGCAAACCTGGAAGCTTCAACCAACCCATTTGCTCACCTGCTAGTGGAAGGACTGAGGTCGTCAAGTTCTGATAGAATCCCCCACAGCAGCCGCATCAGCTGCCTCAAATCACTTTCGTCCACGCCCTCCCCCACAGTCTTAGCAGCTGGCAGCAGCGCCTCTGCTGCCACAGCTCTCACATCATCATCTGAGTCTTGCAGCGCGCGGATGCAGGCAGGGAGGAGCGAGGGCAGCAGGGAGGGCAGTAGCTCCTGGCGCACTGCTATAAGGTACTTGATGCCAAGCAGGGCACCGTGCCGCACTTCCCACTCTGATCGGTTCTGTAAATGGGGGATGGGAGGGGCTCCATAGTAAGCTCCCTAAATGAGGAACGGGAAGGATCACCCTTGCAACTGAAGGTGGCCACTCGGTGCTGAACCCCCACTCCAAGCGAGTCAGCATTCAGGTCTAGAGGAGGCCAAAGCTTTGAGATAGTTGACGTCTGGCACGCCTCTATGCAGAACCTCCCACTCTGTGGCATGTCTGACAGACAGCAGTGGAGGAAGGCATACTGTGAGCATCAGAAATATGGACAGTGTTGATACGGTGTGTGTGTGGGACTACATTCTCCCATGCATACCTGCATTTGCAGCAGCACATCAAGTGTGCGTGCAACAGCCCTGGAGGGCAGGTATTTGAGCACCACTCCAAGCGCCTGTCCACACGCCTCCCGCACTGGCGCCACCACCTGGTCCGACACAAAGTCTTCCAACCTAAGGGCACAGAGGGGACCCAGGGTAAAAGGGGTGACGTGAGCCACCCATGGCGTCGCCCCACCTGATGTGGCACAAAGTCCTCTTGTAAGAAAGAACGGGCAGGGGAGATGAATAGGAGAAAACAGTACAACAACCAGTATAGGGATAATATCCAAAAGAGCAGGTAAGCATGCGCCGAACTAGGTTTTGAATGACTCACCTGTCCAAAGCGAAGATGCACAGCAGCCGAATGGCACAGTCCTCCAAAAACAGCTCATTATCCGCCTGTGCCTTCCTGGCAGCTTCTATAGCTAACTGTGCCTTCCTTGCAGATTCAATCGTCGCCGTTGCACCTTTCTCCGCCGCCCTCACACGTTGTGCCACCACCAGCGCACTCTCCTTCTCTTCTCCATTCTTCTCCTCAGCCACTTCCCCCCCATCCACATGTTTCCCCTCATTTGCTTCCTCGGAAACTTCCATGTTCAAGTCCAACCCCTTTCCCACAGCTTTCTCACTTCCCTCACGCTTGCTCTTCTCTTCAGCCTCATCCGTGTTGGCTTCTACCTTAATCCCCTCAATACTCTTTTCATTCCCCAAATTTCGTACCACCCCCTCTCCCATCTCTTCTGATTGCATGCCGTCAGAGAGATGTAAGTCCAAGCCCATACGCGCCCTCCCTCCAGAATTTTGGTTAATGACGCCCTCTTGATTCGTCACACTCGCTTCAGTGTCCTCCACTTTACAGACCAGCAACTCGTTCAAGTCAAATCCGGATCGTTCAGCTCGGTTATCCTCCCCCCCCTTCCCGCCCCCTTCTCCTGCCTCCTCCTTCACACACACCCCAGCAGTAGCAGCAAGCTTGCCCCCAGACGCGGACTCTCCATTGCTTTCTTTAGGCGTCTCAGAGCCCATAGAGAGGCCTAGCCAGCCACCACTCCCTTCCTTCGACTCTGCCTTCGCCTCCCTCTTGACTCCCTCCAGTCGCCCCTCGATTACTCCCATCTCATCCTCTACTTTCAATTCCTCCTCTGCTCTCGTTTTCATACCTTCCTCTTCACCTTTCGCCTCCTCTTTCACCTCTGCCTTTAAAGAAGTCCCCACCTCAATCTCCCTCTTCACAGCTACCAATGGCTTACTCACAAACTCTCGTTCTTTTACTTCCTGCTTCACATCCTCCAATCCTTCCGCCTCCACACGTTCTTCTTTTCTGATACCCCAATGATCCACAACCTCCATTTTCTTGTTAACCCCTTCTTCCTCCTTTTCCGAACTCACCATCGGCGCCTTGACCAACCCCACATCCAGCTCCCTCATCTCTGGTACAGTCTTGCCATCATCCTCCTCCTTCACCACCTCCAGCTCCATCTTCCCATTCCCATCTTCTATCTCCTCATTCCCATTGGCACTGGCCCACTTAGAAGGAACTATTGGGCGGCAAACTGCAGCACAGTTCCCATGCGCGGACATAACCTCCCTGAGGGCAAGAATACTGCCGTGACGTACCTCCCACACTGCACAGACAAACAAAGTAAAGGAAGGAAGAAGAAAAAACAGACAAAAACACCAGGTAGTTGTGCAAAGAAACAGGACCGCGTGATTTCCACCGCTGATGGAACATGAGCATTCATTGAAACGGAAGGGCGACATTTGACTGAATGACACAGCAATCATTACCTGGGTGAAACATGTCTGTGAGCAGTTGTTCACACAGCGCCTGCAAGGGCCATTCTCCCTCTTCCTCCTCCTCTTCCTCCCAATCATCCCCCTCTGCTGCCACCTGCTCTACTGTGATCTGATGGGCGGGTGGCAGGCAGGAGCGGTGGAAGGGAGGGGTAAAACAAATAGTGAGGGAGGGCGCTTTGAAGAGCTGGAAGAGGGACAGTACAACCGACGGTCGACAGATCCTGTGCATATCCCCCCAAGGCTGCAACTCAAACACCCGGGTGAAGTGAAAAGCATGGTCGCGCTCAACAACCAAAAGATAATTAACGAACGCACCTTATTGTCCTCCTTCCCATCTGAAACCACACTCTTTGTCCGCATCTTTTTCCTGCCTCCCCGCTCCCCTTCCCCTCCATCCTCATCCTCATCCACCTCCCCCACCCCACCATGTGCCCCTCCTCTCTTCCCCCCGTCCTTGCTCATGCTCTTTGCCTTCCGCTTCAGCATGTTTCTCTCCCTTGCACTAAGGGAATTCGACAATGCGGGTGATACACTACCAGCAGAACTGCCACCATCACCGACCCCCGGACTGGTGCCACTTGGCAGCATCTCAGCCATTAGATCCTGCGCACCACGCTTGATTCCAGCTGTAGCTTCTTGCTTCTGCTTCTGCTTGCCAACAGCTGCTGCAGCGGGGTTTGATGAACCTGTTGCTGGTGGTGCTGCTGCTTGCGCTGGTGCTTCCAGATCCTCGTCTCTAATGATATCGCTTACATCCATGAATCGCTCACACTCGTCCAGACCTGTGACAACAGAAAGTGTGCAGAAGGAAGAGAGAAAGACCTCGTATTGGTTGGTGCTTCTAATGACTAGCTGGTTGGGATTCGCTCTCTCGTCAGGAAAACTGACCTGTATTTGACCTGGCTATACCAACCAGCCTGACGCCAGCCTGGCTCAAGATCGTCACCATCAACCCTCCCCACCGCCTGCCGTCACCTCACCACCAAAACGTTTTCGTCCCAATTGTAGCTCTCCAGTTTATTCCTAAAACTCTGCGGTGCTGTCAGGTCAGCACTATTCAATGGCAAGGGCCGTTCAAAAAAGAAGGAAGCCAGAAGAGCAATGTCCGTCACATGGAGCTAGAAACCTGAAGCTTTACGCCTTCAGTGGTGCACGGAAAGGCATGCGTTGCACCATGACCCCATTCTACTCACCTAGTCTCCGTCGTAGGGACTGCTTTTGCTTGGCAATCGCCTCCTTCCCCCCTCGCCCAACTGCTGCAATATCATATTCCTGGGCCACCATAGGATCGGAAAGACGTAAATTTAGCTATGTTGTGACATTGGGCACGTTGCAGAGGTAGGCGTGGGGCGTAATGTGGTGTTGTGTGTGAGAGGTTCAGCATGGATGGAGCAAAATGTTGAGAATGGACCAGAGGGACGGTATGCCTTGTTGCTTGATTTCCACCATCTCATGTCATGGCAAACCCAAATCGACAACATAAACAAAAAGGTTGCCAAGCTGTAAGCTGCGCCACCAGCGATGCATCACCAAGACTTACGCAACACAACCATGAATCACGCACCTCCATGCATTCTGAGCAGACAATATTATAAGCAGGCGTTACCTTGCCAGCTGATGCCACAAGCGGTGCTCCATTATCCAACACACGACCAATGTCAAAGCTGCACATGGAGGGACGTCATAGAGGAAAACAATAAGAAAACAGCATACGGATGCAGACATAGGTGCTTGTGCTTGGACCATTCAGGTTTCACACTTCGACACAAACTCAGCAGCATATGAGTTCGTGACATCAAACACCTAAAACTCCGTCCATCAGAATGTCAGGCGTCTTACCCCTCAAAGCGCAAGCCGCCACCAGCAGCAGTAGTTCCTGCAGCAGCTGGTGCAGCACCTTCGCCATCAGGGGCTGCAGAAGCAGTGCCATTCCGTGCTGCTAATGTTCCTTCATCACCAGATACAGTGGAAGCAGCAATCTGCAGGTCCTGCACTGTGGGATGCGGTGTGTTCCGAGCTATGTACCCTAACGCCTTGGCTGCAGCCACACGCGTATCCCATTTGCTGCTCTTCAGCAACCTCTTCACCTGTACGGAGGGGTTCAGAAGAGGGGATAGAAGTCGCTTGTGAACAAGCAATGGATGGTTCTAGAGAACCAAAGAACTTGAACAAGAAAACAACTAGCAAGTTTGAAGGTGAGCGGTGGGGGTGATACAGCAAGCTGCAGGGATAAAGCTCGCATAGGTTAAGTAGGAATGGAATGCAGGGAAACCAAAAGCACGTGCATCCGAAGACGACTGGGGATCGTACACGCCGAATGAGAGCATGCAAATCCGCTCTGTGGAGGCTAGCTAACTCTCCGATCTGACGCGCGGCTGTGTCGCGCGTCGTGGCCGCTTCTCCAGCTGAAAGAAGAATTTCGACACGGAAAATGAAAGAGAAACTGGTGAGCACAGTTAAGCGTTATCGCCAAAAGCGAAGAGGAGAAGACCAACAAATGGGTAAACCGGCCGGAGCGGGAGGCGAAAAACGGAGAAGATGTACACTTTCGCTAAAGTACAGCATGCGAAGAAAGCAGGGAAGAGACATGGTGTAACCGACGCGGAATTGGGAACAGTTCGTGAGCTACTGGAATCATCGGGGTGGATGGAATGATGCCGTTCGTACTATCAAGGAGAATCAGAAGCCGGTCGAGTCGAGTGGTACCCCCAGAACCACTTTTATTGCCGCCGACTGCCATGGCCAATGCAATTTTGAATCTTGAGGAAGCAGGTGTAGAGTCTAATGGTTTGACTTGTCAATGCGTTCACAAAAGACTCGCCGCATGCGCGCACTGCGCCAGTGAATGTCGACCATTTTATGTCTGACTCGTAGTATAACGCATTCCTCTGGCGGCGGACCTAGTTGCAGCGATACGTGAGATTCCTTGAGCCAAGAGAGATCCTATTCCGTGCAGGAATCTCTGGCCAATAAGGATATTTCAGAGGTTTGAGATAAAAGAAGCTATTTATACGACCAGCTTGCCGGCCTAGGATGCTTCATAAAATCTGGAACAAGATACTCGATGGCGCAGATAAGCAACTCTCTGCTGCTCTGTAAGGAATTTTCTCGGCATTCCTTACGGGGCCGACTACATCGCGTACAGCAACAGCCGATTGTTCGCCCGTTACTGCTAACGGAACTTCGCCGACTTCGCGCGCACTGTTTTGCCAAACCTCGCACTGCTGGCATGGCCGTATCGGCCTACGCTTCGGGACTAGCCCGAGCCTCGCTCCAGCGTAGCACTAGCAAGCTCGCACGCACCGCGTTACCGTTTTGCATGTTTCGCGTATAAATGTTCGCTCATGCCTTCGCTCACATTTTGTACTCGTTTGACACCTTAGTGCAATCCTCGCTACTTCGATTCATTGCACCCGTAACACTTGGTATCAGAGCCCCTTTCTTTCGGACCGCGCATCTCCGCACACCAGGAAATCAACTTTTGATTTTTCACTCGAAGGGACTCACGCACCTTAGCCCCTAGGAGCCGCTGTCCTCGCGTTCTCTCGTAAACGCAGCCACGACTGCGCCTAGACTAAGACGAGCCGACGCCCTTCGTCATGGCTGAAAATATCGACGTCACCACCCTCATGCAGGAGCGCTTGAACGATCTGCTGCGACAGCTGCACGAAAGCTCCGAGGAAATCGCGGCATTAACGGCAGAACGCTCATCGCTGCAAAATGACCTCATGAGGGCACAACAAGCACAATCTCAAGCACCTGGCACTCCGATTCAACCTGCACCCTCAACATCACAACACGGGAGTGTGGGGCAACCCGCGAGCGCGGCCAGTGATGGCGTCGTCCGCCCCGACGGAGACGACGACCACGGCACGACACACCCCAGAGCGACGCATGCGGCCCCAAGTCAGCCTCGCGTCACGATTTCGGCACCAACCCACGATTCGGGACTGCCGTCACCGATGCCGCTGAAGCCGCAGCGCCCGCCATGCTTTGACCCGAGTCAACGGGGTGGTCCTACCGTTCAGGCGTGGTTGTTCACAATGAATGTCTTCTTCGACGCCAACTACGTCTCGGAGGACTCGGCGAAGATTCGATACGCCGTGTCGTTGCTGCGAGGACCCGCCATGGACTGGTGGCGCGTCATCGTCACGAAGCCGATCGACTACGCGACACTACCGACACGGGAAGGACAAACCGGACCCTGGGCGCCGTCGTATTTCGTGGAGGTGCCCCAGTATCGCACGTGGGACGCGTGGTGCGCAGGTCTGCGCGCTCGATTTGAGCCAATCGCGGCCTCGATCTCGGCGCGACAGAAGCTCCGCACTTGGCGCCAACTCGGTTCCGTCCAGGATTACACGAGCGGATTTCTGGCGCTATGCGAGCAGGTGGGCTACATGCATGAGAGCGAACGCATCGACCGCTACATCGGCGGCCTGAAGCAGGACATCGCTCAGGAAATCCAGCTTCGCGGCGTCACTGAGTTTCAGGAAATTCTAGCTATGGCGGAGAAGCTCGACTTCTTTCGCCGACCGAGACCGGGGTCCTACGGAAACAACACCTGGGGACATCGGCCTCGTGGGACGAACGAGAGCGCCACAATACGCGCCGTCGCCGCAAATGCCGCTGCCGCACCGTTCAAAGGGCGCTGCTTTGCGTGCAATCGGCCGGGACATCGCAAGAGCGAATGCCCGGAAAACGCTAAGGGAAAGGGGGAAGCTGAGCAGCAGACACAGACCAAGCAGCAGGGAAACGCTGGAAGTCAGTAGCAGACGGACCCTCTACTGACAGGTCATGCCGCTCGCCCGACCCAACCGACCCTCACCGAGTGATTGTGCCGGTTCACGCAATCGACCACACCCGGCCGAATAAGGAGGGTACCACGGTAGATAGCCCTATACTGCTCAGTGGGAAAATTGGGACGGACTTAGTTAAAATCTTCGTAGACGGGGGAGCCAGCCACAGCCTCATTAACACTGCTACAGCACGAAAACTGCGACTGCCACTGGACCGATGCTTACCTGAGATAGACGCACGACTGGTAGACGGCACGCCGCTGGCAATACGGGAACGCGTAGACCGAGTTCGGATTCGATGCGGGGGTAACTTCACGTTTAGTCAGGAAATGCTCGCAACGACCCTCGACGGAACCGACATTTTACTCGGGCGTGATTGGCTGCGACGACACAATCCGCGAATTGACTGGACGACGGGTGACTGCACCGTGCGAGTGAACGGTAACAACATCGCCTTACCTCGCTGGGGCTCGCCTGAGTCTTCGTCGGTGCGTGTCAACGCGATCACGATGAAACGCGCTGTTGCGGCCGGAGCCGACGTGTACGCGGTTGACATTCGGGAAGCCGAGGCAGCAGACAAGGGGGGCGATTTACAGAAACTGCTGACCGACGTACCGAGTGACCTGGCGGCACTGTTAAAACAGTACAGTGACATTTTCCCGGACGACCTGCCGACGGGACTGCCACCTCAGCGACCGCACGATCACAGGATAGAACTGGAACCGGGGGCACAGCCAACAGTACAGCGACAGTTCCGACTGACCCAACCCGAACTAGACGAACTGAGGAAGCAGCTCGATTACCTGCTAGAAAAGGAATTCATTCGCCCTAGTTCGTCGCCCTTCGCCGCACCCATACTGTTCACACCGAAAAAGGACGGGGGGTTTCGCATGTGTATCGACTAGTGGGCACTGTGTGAAACTGAAGAACAGGAATGAAAATGACTAAGGAAAGATTGGGTACAAATACAACCCTAGAAAACCTGTACCCCATATGTGCTACCCCACTATAGCCTACAGCAACTATGTCATATAAATCTGACACACCCCCATAGGCAAAGTGGGGGAGAATAAGGGGTCACAAGACCAGTCAAGCAAAGCAAAGCAAGCTCAGGGTGGATCACAAAGTCACCACACAGTCCGAGCACAAGAGTAGGGCCAGAGGCCAGTTCACATGCAGGAGTACAGACATATATATAAAACTAGACAAGCAAGAGCAGGCATATATATATGTCACAGTACAAGAGAAGTCAAGAGGAGAGCAAGTGAGGCAAGACAGGCACAAGACCCAGCTGGGTGCAGAAGCGCTGATGGTCACAAGGCGCGAGTGCCTTGGTGAACACATCCGCAGTGTTGGCCTCAGAGGCCACGTACGCAAGTCGCAACTGACCACGCTGCTGCAGCTCACGAGCAAGGAAGTAGCGGAGAGCAATGTGCTTCGTTCTGTGCTCCAAGCGCTGCTCTCGACACAAGGCCAGCATGGCCTTGT